TCCTCGAGAGCCTGACGAAGCTGATCTTCGGTGTATTGAGGCATTATATATAGAAGAAGACATGTGCAAAAGATGAGCCCATTTGGACGCGAATTGAAAATGTTGTGATAAAAGGAGGTTGGGGGTGGGCATTGGGTTGTGGTGGATTTTCGCGTTTTTGTGGGTGCCAGAAACAGGGGGGTGCCAGGAAGTGGGTATGTTGACTTACAAGCTGGGATCCGTCTCAACAAATTCAGTGACACGGGACTGAAACTGTGCGGCTTGGTACGCTGTATTCGCCATTGTTCTCAAATTGAGTTAGATTTCGGGTACCAACGGTCTAGGTAAGACATGGTAACGAACCTTGTCGCCGAAGCGCCATTGACAAGGACGGAGACGTCTGAGGCAGGCATACTGCAACTAAGGAGGTACTTTTTGACCAGAGAGAGGGATTGGAAACGTGTCGTCTCAATGGGGGTAATTTGAAAATAATTTGATCGCTAATTCGCTGTTGCAGATGACTCAATGTCAATGGTCTGCTTGAGGGGGAGAAAGCCATGGAGTTCATTGCAGGGTCGCACGTACTTATGGCTAACGGCTGATCGTGAGGCCAGGGCCAACACACTCACTCGCCCATCGTACTGACGAGGGTGAGTCCAAGAAGAGGAGCTCTGCAGTCACACAAATTTTCAGGGCCTCAATCCCACGACAGAAAGGACAAAAGCCTTCGCAACAGCCTCAAGTAGGTATGTCAGTGCTGTGGACCTAGTCCCAATGCCGAGCGTGGGACGAATCCTATTGGATGGAGCGTCATGTCGGTCAATTCGTCCAATTGGATGGAGTGCCACGTCGGTCAAGATCCCGCCCAAGGCCGTTTATGGGAAGAAAAGAACAAGATCCCCGGGGTCATTTCGAAAAGGAGTTGGACTGAGACTCGTCGGTTTCACCGGCCCTGCGTTTTTCGAGGGACCGCTCAGGATCGTGGGAGGGTGAACTCGGACCATCGCTTTACCTACTAGTCCGTCGGCCATTCTGGCCTCACATGACAAGACCGGCTGCAAGTTGCCTGCGGATGCCTTACGACGAGTTCATCGCCGTGGAGTTTCCAGCTACTTGGCGCCAACCTATTCTGGCGGCTTCAAGGCGATTGGCAATATATCCGTCAAGCTTCTAGCCTTTCCCGCGGAAGCAAGGCATGCATCCGGCACCAGCATGCCGGACACTCGAAAACCCACTGAGGTGCCATTCTCCCAGAGATAACCAGGTTCCGCGGTCACATAAACCATGCTCCCCTAACTTGCCAGCTCAATCGAGCCTGGCTTAGTGGTCAACAAGGAACTCTGCGCCAGTGGAACGGCCCATGCCGGGGCCACGTTGTTTTGCCCCAGGATGCTGTCGCCACACATCCACTTGCCTCTTTCGGTGTTCCGGAGGTAAAAGAATAGCTTTATCATTTGACTCTGGGGATGTACGAATCGGATTTGGGAGAAACAGCAACCCCATACTCAGGGAGTCTTGCGCTGCATCGGCACTGAACGGATACGTCCCTATTGGCGAGCGCAAGATGAGGCCAAGGATGACTACCTTTCCGCCGACACCCTTTTGCAATGGGAGATCTCAAAACGCCGCCTCCTTTGAACATGAGGCCCTGCTCTCGCCTCTCGATCGACAGGCTGAATATTACATCGTGAGTAACACATCGAGCTGTATCACACCTCCTTGTACATGCATGCTACGAACAAGCGGCAGGAGGAGGAAGAGTCAGGACTCCCAGGAGTAATGACGAATTTTGGGTGGTGCAAATCGGCACCCCATATTCATCACGGACTCTGCCTTGTTTGCGCCCTTGAAAGGATTGGGCGCTTTGAGCGACGTGCCACCGCCGGCTACTGCAACCAAACTCCCCGTGTGCCCCCCAAGAGCCTGAGAAGACGCTGATGTCTTGTGAAATCGAGCTATGTCGAAAATCTCGGATGCGACAAGCCGGAGAGGCTTTCGGCGAGTTAGGTCCGGGCCTAAAGCCGGAGCAAAAGGCTGGCCAGCAAGTCGTTGGCTTCGAGCCTTTGGAGTTGGCTTAAGCGTTTAGGCTTCATCCGTTCCGGCGCCGTTAAAGCTATGGTCTCACGTCATAACGTCGAGCGTCAAAAGCAGTACCCCTCATCGACTTCAGATGACAGGAAGTGCTTGGGCCCCCCCACACATCCGAAATATTCGGAGTCGCTCCCCAAGTCATCCCCACGTCGTTTGCCATCGCACCTTGCGCGGTGAGAGGTCGCATGTCGGTGTAGCGGCATTCTTTTCGCTGGTGTGTCACAGCTTTGTGCATGTTGCACCTATTCGACTGCAACAAGATGATGCGCTTTAGATTTTGTGCTCGGCCACGTTTCCTCGCAGGGGTACGGCCGTACTATTTTTTGTAAGGACCGAGCTGCATATAAGATGATAAGGTCATGTCACAATATCAGTTTTCAGATCAGGTCATGCCTCCAATATGTCGCTTCACGATGATCCCCCCGCAAACACTCATCAGTGGCCCCTACTCGAAGCCTCGCGTTAATCCAGGCAACTTTTGGCGAAAAAGCGCTCGGCGACGCGTGCAGTAGTCACCGCTACCTTCCACCGGTAAAGCAATTGAGGTTTGTGAATTCTTTTCTTCGCTTATGGGCATCAATATGTACAAGAAATGGGAAAGAATTCACCACGCAGAACTACTCCCGTCAGACCCCATGTCACCGGTGACTATCGCTAGCGCTCTCGGTCAAGGTGTGCGTATCCGCATCGGGAGCCCTGCAGACGGTTGGCTGGAGCCTGGAGGTGAAGTTCCGACGATGCGCTCTAGAAAAAAATGTCATTCTGGGCACCTGGCTTGAAACCCATCCTGGCGTTGTACCCGGGGCTATAACCGACATCCTGCACGTTGTTTCCTTCGGCTTCTACGAGAACGTCAGCACTTGGACTGGTGGAAAGGGGCGTCATCGCCGTTCGACAACTCACGATTCCAAGCAATCAGTTGCTTCGGTCCAGCGACACACTTTTTCGAATCATCTCGGCAAGCGACGGGCGGCTTAGCGATACCCAGTCGCTTCGTGGACACGGCGTTGGTAACATTGCATTTGAAGTTTTGCATGTACCTTTTCGGCCTGTCAGTATCTTGCCCTTCGATCGTGCCTGGTTAAGGTGACTTACATGTTGGGCTGGCCACCTGCGATGAACGAGTCAGTCAAATGCGCCAAGGGGGGCTCATAAGCGAGGGTGATCTTACATCCATCTGGAATCCAGAGCCAAGCGCAGTAGCAGCCTCCCACCGGGCAGGCAGGCAAGTCCGGAACTCGGTACGAAGCTACGCGTTTCCAAGGCGTGCCGTTTTCGACTACAGTCAGTTGCTGACCATTCTTTGTCCAACAGGTCCCAACCTACTGCTCGACAACCGAAAAGACGACGAGGTTCTCCATTGTCACCTTTCTGATATCTGACTGATAGCTGATGGCGAATGCTGTGCCTGCCGTGGTGGTATAGTTTTGCGTGTGCATCGCACCTCCTTTACCGTCCGGGTTATCGACGAGACACTTGCCCGGCACAGGCGCATGCCAGTCTTCTGGGTGTTCGATGCAGTCTGGCCACTGCGTCGCGGTCTTGCCGCCGTAGGAAAGGCTCGTGCAGCCGCGGTTGGCCCCGAGGTCGACGGTGAACTTGCCCCTGGCGAGTAGGTTGAGGAACTGGCACGGTGGAGGGGGCACGTCACCTTGTCGCATCCGAAGCCAGCTTGCATCCACCACTTGGATTTCGGGAGTTGGTAAAGCGGGTTGATCACAAGATCACAAGTTTGATTTTGGAATCGTCTACTATAGTGTTGCTGTCATCGGTTTGCTTAGCATTATGCTTATCACAAAGGACCATAGGTCGTGGCACTAAGAGACTCACTCGGCAATACATGCAATCGGCCTTAGCAGAAATGTGTCCCTCGACGATACCGGCGGAGACCAGCGCTGAACCAAGCCTAAGCGAGATCTTCATTGTACCTTGATGATTCCATGACAAAGACTATCTGTTGGAGGTGGACGACTGAGGCAGGAAAATCGTGGACAAGATCTAGAAAAGGAGTGGATGTGGAGCAGTTGCCGGAAAGGAATGAATCAGGCCTCGGGGCTTGACTTGAAAAGAAGGACAAGTAACGAGCGATGTGACCGGCTTGCACCAGACGACGGACTCAATGGAGCTTTTTGGGAAGTGACGAACACCTTATAAATATCGCAAGTAAGGGGACATCTGGGGAGTCAAGATTAAGGAAGTTGTGACGTTGACATCGTCTGTGCGGATCAAAAAGCTAGCCCGTGTTGTCTGTCTGGGCGTCTGACACTTTTCCTTCCTCCGAATCTCGATATGGCGCTAAATAGACCATGGCGGACAGGCAGCACTTGAGTTCGTTATTTTGGCGGTTATTACTAGCGAGGTTAAGTACAAGAAATACAGTAGAGGAGAGGCTTCGGATAATTTCAAAGTCTCATCGTGGGGTTTGCCCGAGGCAAGAACAGTCGTGGATGCTTGAGATCGCCGGGGAGCCTGCCGAGGGAAACGAACGCAGAAGAGGATGCTGGGTTAATTACGCACCGGTACTGGTGATTGCAGCATTCGCACGCGCACAGAATGTCTTTTCATGAGTCAGAAAAACACATTATCCCGTGCTTAGTCGACGACGGCCGATTGCATCGAGGCCGAAGCTACGATTTTCTTTACGTCGGCGCCGTGAATATTTACCGAGCCAACACCGCCCATCCCTCCCAGCTTATGTTGAGTCCCCCCACAATGCTCCATTATCCACGCGGCTAGGAGCAATGAGGCCGGTCTCGCCTTCTTGCGTCTTGCGTCGGCCTTGACCATTTATCGCAAACTTGTTCCCGTCAAGTGCTACAAGACTTCTATTTTAAGTCATTTCGAAAGGTGTCGAACGCCAAGTGGGAGGCATAAGTTTGCCCTCCTCAAGACTCTTCACTGTAGCACTTATCACAAGCGAGCTTCTCACCGTTCGATATGGCCTCTGACCTCGCCGAATATCCATTAAGGGCCTGCGAACTATCGTACGACCTCACGAGCAGTCCGCAGCCTGTTCCCAGCGAAGCCACAATTCTATCTTCGGAGCAGAGCATTTGCACGGATCATATGGTTGTTGCGTCATGGAAGCATGGCATCGGATGGTCGAAGCCTGAGTTGAAGCCCTATGGTCCGCTTGACCTACTCCCGACCGCGTCCTGCCTTCATTACGCCACCGAGTGCTTCGAAGGCCTGAAGGCCTACAGAGGTCACGACGGCAAGCTCAGAGTTTTTCGCATCGAGCATAAAGTTGCTCGTCTACGAAGCTCAGCCGCCAGGATCTCCCTCCCTACGTTCGAGCCTGGAGAGGTCAAGAAACTTGTTCTTAGCCTGTTGTCAGTGGATGCCGACCGCTGGCTCCCTGAGGAACAGGCTGGCGACTTTCTTTACGTTCGTCCCACGATCATTGGTACCTCGCCTCAGCTTGGCGTCCAAGCGCCCAAGGAAGCCATATTGTTCATCGTTCTGGCATATATGCCTCGTCTCGATGTACCACCAGGGGGTATGCGACTGTATTCGTCTCCGAAAGACGCTGTTCGGGCCTGGGTCGGTGGTTTTGGGTACGCAAAGATCGGAGCGAACTATGGGCCTTCGGTTTTGGTTCTACAGGAAGCTGCTGCTAAAGGATACCATCAAGTCTTGTGGCTCTACGGAGAAGATGGGGAGTGCACTGAAGCTGGTGGGTGCAACTTCTTCGTTGTATGGGTTCGCAAGGATGGCAAGACTGAGCTCATTACGGCACCCCTGGATGATAAGACAATCCTCGATGGAGTTACAAGACGAAGCTGCCTTGAACTTGCGAGGGAAAGACTTGGCGAGGAGATCGTAGTCTCAGAACGCAAGTTCACAGTCACTGAAATCATGGAGGCCGCGGCTGAAGGTCGTCTGTTGGAGTCATTTGCCGCAGGTACTGCTGTGAGTGCTTATCAATCACCGTGATACTCGATCCCGCACTGACGAATTTAGTACTTCATCTCAGCAGTTTCCCATATTCACAATCGCGGGCACGATATCTGTGTGCCAATGGGTGACGCCGGGAAGGGAGCGAAGATCACTAGCACTCTCAAACAATGGCTCACAGAGATCATGTACGGCGATACTGAGCATGCGTGGGCTGCGACTGTATCTACTTCAGAACGAGAAATCTTGGAGTCTTGACGGGGCAATTCGCACTAGGTTGGCCAGAAATGTCTAATATACAATACTTGGGGTAGGCTCCACGAAATGATTGCTGGCTAGCATCAGTCTTGCCGTCTTTATTATCAAGTTAAGTCAAAAACCTTAGAGAGAACAGGCCTGCGCAGATCTATAGATTAGAATTAAGAATCGATGCTCCTCGGCTGCTCGACTTTGGTCCGACAGGACGCAATCCTCTCTTGTAATGAGTATCCCATTTCCAATATCCCTACTCATCTTATCTGGAATTCGCTGGCGGGCGGCAAGAAGCCTCTTTTTACAGCCACCCGAAAGCCCCCTAGCCATTTCCGGGCTATTTTTTCATATCCAGTATCGTTCGGATGTGTCCCATCCGCCACCAAATCTTCCATGGCGGGCCCGTCGTTCCTTTGCAAGTCGACGAACACAATTTTCCTGCCTTTAAGAGTCAATTGGCGTGCTAGTCTCTCCGCCTCAATGTTAAATTCCTCAACCCGCTGCTGCACGACCTCGTTCTGGTTGACCAGTAGGCCTGAGAGAATAATGGTTGAGCCAGGCGAGGCAACCCAGAGGGTGTCCAAGAGGTGAACAAGGCGGTATCGTGCTTCTGTCAACTTGTATCCTTGTAAACAATCGTTGGATCCGGCGTTCACAGTGAAGACATGCGGCAACAACTTCGCTGCTGATACCTTCGCCCTGGCCTCGATTTGGTCGATCCTATACCCCCGCCAGCCTTCATGTTCGTTGTTAAAATGGGTGCCGGATCTACGGGATCCAACCATGCAGACATTGTAGCCGCAGCCGTGCAGTAACTCAGAGAGTTTCTTCCGATACCCGTTTTGATCAGAAGAGCCGACGCCGTGTGTGACTGAGCCCCCCAATGGCATTAATCGAAGCACAGGTCGACATTCGGTTGTTGAGGTAAGTTCTGAAAGAAGGATGTCAGTTTGAATGACAATGTTCGAGTCATTTAGTGGATATCACAAAGGCCCCGAGTCTAGGATTGTACCAGGAGTGGAGGCGTACATACTGGGTTGGGTGCAGTGAGCGGCCTTCTGGCGGTGGAAACCGCATTTGGCGGCTTGCGAAAAGTAGCCGACGTTTACTTTACATCTGAAGTTGCGCAGCATTGAGCATATGAGAATCTGGTCCTGAAAGCAGAACCAATTAAGCAATGCAGGAAGCAAAAACGCGTGGGAAAAGGGAAACCAAAATGGGGGACATCATTATCTCGTACTAGTGAGAGAAAAGAGTGGTACACGGAGGTCGGGCAAACCATCTTTAGCCGAACATGACATAGCTCGGCGGAGAGCTTAGCGGCCGGAAACTTGCCGCGACTCCTGAGGTCTCACCTATCTACATACACATCTGGCCAATGAATCCCTTGCGAGTGCTCTCCTCGCACAGCAGCCTCCAAAAAGTGAACATCTATCACTGGTTGGGATAGCAGCTCTTGCAACGACGGCTCTGGCCAAGGTACACCTGCTGCTGGGACTACCCCATCAGCTAAGTTTTGATCAATTTCCTGGGTGAGAGTATCGTCGCAAGAATTCGCTGCTCCATCTGATTGGGATTGGGTATGTGCTTTTAGGTTCGACAACATCGTTGACTCCATCACTTCAACATGACGACTATATTCCTGTGCCACCACGTTCCCAGCCATCTTTAGTTGGTCGAGAAGATGAGATGCCTCCTCGTAAACATCCCGATCAAGACGACTGCCTATCCCATCCAAGAGACTCGAAATGGCGAGGATCGTCAACGACGAGAAGAGGTGTTGTGTGAAGAAGCAATCAAAAGTCACAAAGGTTCCGTCGATCCACGCTCGCGTGAGTAGTCTTGTAGACTGATGAGCGCATCGTATGCATGCCTTTGACAGTGCTGTCGCTTCGGCAGGGATACTGGATGTTGCGGGAGACGAACCAGGACGCGAGCTGGCAATCTGGATTCGCAAAGCGTGCAGCAAAAGTGGTCGAGTAGCCAAAATCACACACTAGTGAAGATCAGCTTCTTGAAGGTACTGTAGAGGATACCTGATTGATGATGATGGCTAACCTGATAGAAACGAAGATGGAGAGAGACAACTTTATGATCATGAGGCTCGTTCAGAGATTTGTCTCCTATCTGTAACGGCCGAGGTAAGATTTCAAACCAGGATTGTAGATCTTTGAGGCAGCCTTGTACGCGGCTTGAGAGGTTTGCGCATGTACCTTCAGCTTGCGTTCGGACGCTGTAGACAGACCGAATTATGGAAGTAAGTAGACCAGCTAGTCTGATATCGGCAACATAATAATCAGAGTCACCATGGCTGTCGGTCGAGCTCGAAGTAGATGGCTCGCAAGGCAGGTCAACACCAATGTCATCATCTTGAATTGCCGGCGGGTGATTTAGGTTCGCAGCATAGAGTCGGTCTATGATATATGCAGTCCAAAAGAGGCTTTTTCGATGTCGGCGAACCAAGGGGTCTGGCAATTGAGACTCCGGGATGTTGAGGTGTAGGCCTATAACAATAGCGACACGGACGGCAGTGCCCGCAAAAACGTACGCACTATATCGTCGGTTTAGGGCCATGGAGTAGAAAGACTGTCTAAAGGTTAGTCGCCGTTGGACGGTTCACGGGAAAGACTTACCAAAAGAAGATAAAGCTCAACGGTTTCGACTTCGGGGCGCTCTTCAAGGTATCCTAAAGCCTTGGATGCTTGCGCAAAGTATGCCATTCCAGGGAAACCGTGGACACCGGTGGATTTGGACACGTAGAGCTCCCCGATAGCAAACAAGGCCCAAGTTCTACAACGAAGCACTATCGCTTCCAAGCTCGCGTCATGATTGTTCTGCTTCCAACATTCTGTAATTGCTTGTGTTTCCACTATGTGATATGAACGCCCAATGTACTTCATGGCAGCCTCAAGCAGAAACTTCGCGCGAGAAGGCCCTGGCCATGGTGTGTTGACATGAGCCAGCGACATCATGGACTCGTTGGAGGCATAATTCAGTCGTATGAGGTGGATAGGCTCGGGAGCTAACGGGTCCGTGATGACCTGGCGAAATCGAGTCGCAAAAGCGGCGTCGGCAGCCTCGCCGATGAGGACAGGGCTTCTGAAGACATTCAGACTGTCGAACCATGGGTCGATACTGATTGCTGGACTTGTCTCGTTTTCCGCGGACTCTGTAGATGGTTCTGGCTGAAGGTCTAGAGGAGATTGAAGTGATTGTAGGGCACTTCCGTCGGGAGTATTTGTGTCGTGGGAGTCATCGATTTGCGCTGTGCGGGAGTCCAGCCGAGATGTACTCTGCCGCTTCAGTCTATCAATTTCCTGGAATAGTTCATCAAGTAAACTTGATCAACGGACCATCAGCAACAGAGACATAGCAATGAAATGGGGCCTTCAAGAAGGGATGTTGGCTCACCTTTGCGGGACCTTTACAGTCCTATTCCTTTGCGGAAACGAGCACTCGTTCGATTTGTCAGACTGTTGGCAATTCTGACACGGACGGCCGCCGCTACACTTCACCTTCCTTTCGTGGCATCGATGACAACTATGGAAGCAGTGAGCAGTCGGGGGCTTCTTTTAATGGCATTGGGTCGCTTGGTATCGCCCATGAAGGACTCACGCGGTATTTTTTCCAGCGAGCAGAGCGCTGCGGATACTTCTAGTAGTACTGCCGGTAAGGATTGATTCTGGCGTTCTCTGCATTTCGCCTGCTGATGCTAATATTTCTTGGTATAATTGGGAAAGAGGATGGCATCTAGGTCCCCTACAGAGTGCTTTGTTCGTGCGCTCGGTGAAACTACGACCTGCCGGAAAGTTGTTTCAATTCTGGAATAGTTATGGCAGAGGATTTCGGAGGTTGGACACTTTGCCGAGGGGACTACCAGCGTGGCCGAGGAGAGGGCAACAACCAACTCTAGAACAGTGTTCTTTCCCATGATGGGCGTACTGTAGAGGATTCGGTCAAAAACTTCAAGGTGGGGGATATAAAAATAAGGCTTCCTCACAGGAAATAAATAAATTGTGGCAAGTGTCTGTACGTGACGTCACACGTTCTGTTTTTCCAAACCCAACTTTTACACCATGACCATCGACTACTCTCATCACCACAACGACTGCCGGCTGTCTGAGGCTGCTGCAAAGACCGCCGCTTCTTGCGTCCAGAATCTCAGTGATTGGGGTCCCGCCGTGAAAGAAATTCAGACGTGGCCCGAATATCGGCCTGAGCCACTTAGAGACCTGCCCCAACTCGCTAAAGCGCTTGGTCTTGGCAACATCTTCATCAAAGATGAGAGCAGACGGTTCGGTACTGACATGGGCTCTTTCAAGGCTCTGGGTGCACCCTTTGCGGTGTATCGGATCCTCGCCGACGAGGTACACCGTCAGACCGGCGTTTATCCGTCGTCGGCCGAGCTTCGTACAAGCAAATATCATCATATCACGCAGCAAGTGACTGTCTGTGTGGCGACAGACGGCAATCAAGGGCGAGGACTTGCATACGGCGCCAAAGTCTTCGGGTGCCGCTGCGTTGACTACATCCACGGCCATGTCAGTCCCGGGCGTGCCAAGACGATGATGGATCTCGGCGCTGTTGTCATTCGAATCGATGGGGAATACGACGAGTCTGTGAGCCGAGCCAAAGAAGATGCGCGAATCAATGGGTGGCACTTCGTCAGCAGCACGTCTTGGACCGATTTCGACCACGGCATTCCTCAGGATGTCATGCACGCATACATGGTGGTCGTTGAAGAGGCGCTCGAGATGTTACCAAGCCTCCAGGATATAACCCATGTTGTTGTATGTGGTGGGGTGGGCAGTATTGCGGCAGCCATCTTTTTGGGTTTCTACAAACACTTCAACCAAATTGTTGCGTCAAGCAACTCGAATACGTTTCCGCGCTGTATCGTTATCGAGCCGACCGAGGCAGACTGCCTGCTTCAAAGCGCCAAGGCTGGAGAGTTGCGTCCGAGTAACAGCAGTCTGAGAACATTGATGGCCGGGCTCGCATGTCGAGGCCCATCTCCCGCTGCGTGGAAGATTCTTGAATGGCTTACTAGTGATTTTATTGCTGTCCCTGACCGCGTTGCGGTGGATGGAATGATAGCCTTGGCGGAGGGCAAGCATGGTGACATTCCTGTCGTTTGTGGAGAGTCATCAGCCGCGACCATGGGTGTCCTACTCAAGGCGGGCAGCAATGAGGCGTTTCGCGAAAAGCTGAGTCTTGATGCGCGCAGCCAGTGCGTGATTTTCGGTCTAGAAGGAGCAACAGATTCTTCAATCTACAAGGATCTCGTCGGCAAGTCGCCTGACGATGTTTTCAAGGCACAAGATAGATTTTTGCAGCTTCATGAATAGGAACATGCTCACATGCTTTGACGAGCCTCGTCTAGTCCACACCTCTCAGTTTACAAAGTTCGCGTCCTGTCTTATTGTAAGAAATACCCAGTAGTAGTTCAGCCCTTTAAGAACCAACTTCAGAAAACCATGCCTCCTAGGATGAACCCAGAGCTTAGATCTCTGCATCGGTCCTCAAGAAGTTATTCGGAAATTTGAACCCATTGTCATGCTGAAAATTTGCTCTGCTATTCTCAGGCTGGGATCGAGCTGCTGTCCGACGGTTCACAATTGTGATTGGGAGCCCGTTCGGCGAGGGAGTGCGTTGCCGAGCGTCAAGACCGGGATTGGCCAGGAAGTTCGGCGTGAGTCAACACGACCGGTCGCTCCACTCCGGCCGGTCAAGGAGCGTTTCGCCGAGGGCCATTCGGTGGAAAGAAGCCGCGCCGATGGGCAAGAGCATTCGCACTAACTATCAATGCCGCATCATGATAGCACAAATCAGTCTCTCCAGAAATGATGGTTTTGACCATTCTGCGACGTTGCTGGAGCTTCCATGTGACCAAAGTTTGTTTGATACATGTAGAGCAAAGTCCGTCGTCTGGTGATTTAATGAAAGCCAAAACAATATCGCATCCAAAATTGCCGCCTTCAATGCTACTATGAGAGGGACCAACAGCTCACATCTAATCATGAAATCCGCCGTCAACACTCAACAAAAGATAGGCCAATCCCCGGCCGGCGCGGCTGACTTTATGGACCCTAATGATCTGAGGACTCAATTTGCGATGGCAATGTCAGCAATGTATCAGCAAGAAGTCCCGCTATATGGAAACTTACTCGATATTGTGCGCCATGTCAATCAAGATGTCCTCCGCAGAAAAGAAAAAGACCTCGCCGTCGACACGGTCGCTATCAGGGCAAGCACGGAGAGGCTCACGCTTGAACGTCATGGTGCCATTAGGCTAGGCACACCCTACGAGCTTCGGACAGTGAAGCGCATCTTTGCGGTTCTAGGGATGTACCCGGTCGGGTACTACGATTTATCCGTCGCCGGCTTGCCGATGCATGCCACGTGCTTTCGCCCTACGAGCGTACAGAGCCTTCATCGGAACCCGTTCCGAGTCTTCACTACCCTGCTCCGCCCAGATCTCCTCGCCGACGAAGATGCGCGCCAGCTATCGGGGAAGCTGCTCCAGAGAAGAAACATATTCACGGCCGAGCTCCTTGAAGTTCTAGACACTGCCGAGTCCCAGAATAGTAGGCTCACAGAAGAGCAGGCTGCCGTTTTCATTTCCGAAGCCTTGCGAACTTTCAGTTGGCAGGCGGTGGCTGCCGCCACGTTCGACCAGTTCAACATTTTGAAGGCCGAGCATCCTATCTTGGCCGACATTGCATCTTTCCAGAGCGCGCACATCAACCACCTCACCCCCCGAACCTTGGACATTTCGGCTGTTCAGACTGCTATGGGGGAGGCCGGCATGGCTGTCAAGGCACGCATCGAAGGGCCGCCCATTCGCAAGTGTCCGATTCTTCTGCGCCAGACTAGTTTTCTGGCCCTTGAAGAATACGTCCACTTCAGAAGAAGCGACAGTTCCGGCCTGGTCTTCGCTTCTGACACTGAGGCCGGACTGGTCAAGGCCGGCCATACGGCTCGCTTTGGGGAGGTTGAGGAGCGGGGCGCCGCCGTCACGGATCGGGGACAGGTACTTTACGAACGACTACTGCGAGAAACAATGGAGATGACGGCGAATGCTGGCCCTGAAGAGGCTGATGGACTCGCAAAAGATGTCTTCAAGCAATATCCTGATACTTGGACTGAACTGAGGAAAGAGAGACTGATACATTGCGAATACGTCTGCGTCAGAAAAGTGCCCCCGAACGAGGCCGGGCGGCAACTCGATGAACTCACTCTTGAGCGCCTCATTTCACAGGGTGTTATAGAAGCACGCCCGATCACTTATGAAGATTTCCTCCCGTTTTCGGCGGCTGGGATTTTCCAGTCCAACATTCAGTCTCGGGACAAAGATGGACGACCGCTGCAGATGAAGCATCCCAAGCCGGACTTCCCCGGTCTCGTGGAAGCACTGGGGGAGGATCCAGTGAATATTCAAAAATGGTACTCTGTCATCCAGAATCGGAGCCTAAAGGCCGTGGCGGAGAAGCTGGGGATGACCGCGGCGTGGCCTTGTTGAGAGCAGCTGAGATAGAGGGTGTACTGAAATTACGGACTGGTCAGGCTAGCCAACCGAACTTCATCATCAACATTGCATAAAGGCTTTAGAGTTTTGACACATATTGAAACTATCGGAACAAGAGCATGTTTGTTAATTTCCAACTCGACCTTTCCTATGCATAAGATAGAGAGACAGATTATAACATGAATCTACTTAAACGCTGGTTTCCAAGTCATTAACGTTAAAATTTTACTCTGACGTGAAGGTTTTCGAACAAACAATTTGATGAAGCTAGTGCTAGTCCTAGAGGCGCGCTGTTCGAGTCCGAACAGGGGCGCGAAGTATCAAATACGTTATCACCAGCTCTTTCTTCTTTGCATTTCCTTTCCTCCTTTTTCTCCCCTTTTTTCGGTTCTCTTTCTTTTCTTGCGAACCATCTTTAATCAGTGTTGTTGAGGCCTGTTAGTTCTATTTATGAGAGACATTGAAGAGCGGGACTCCACTGCTAGGATCGGCTTCACTTAGTTCCTCGGCCGGTAATATGAAACACCGTGGGGAAGCTTGGTCGGTCGTGAACGTACAATGTTCGAGCACACAGCAATAACACTCAATCTTTTACTAGACACGTCTCTCCAAGCTGCAGGAATAAGTGTGCATCCAGCAACACTGCGGAACGCGATCGCGGGGTCGAGACAAGATTGACATCGTTTCAAAGCCTGCACTTGTGGCGCTGTAAACAACGTTTCTCGAAGCAACTAGCGATCCTCCGACTAGAGCCACGCCAACCCACAAAACAAGGGCAGAAAAAAGAACAGCCCACCATCCATCCCAAGTTTTCGGGACCGGACGACGGCTGTGGCTGCACCGTTGCCCACCCGTCGTCCGTGCAGACCCACAGACGGGAGCAAACGGCACCGCCTCACCTGTCAACGGTCTGCTCCCGATGCTTCCCGGTGAACGGGCGACCAGGCGTACCATCAGAACCCCCAGGCCTGGCTCTCCCAGCCGCAAGACATCCACAAGATCTAGGCAAATCAAAGATCCTGTCGTATCCCGACTCGTGCATTCAGCCAGACATGGATGTCGCGCTTCCTACCAGCGTCAGCGGCTCTGCTTTGTCAGAAGTTGGAGCGAATCATCATCGCGCGGTCGGTCATTTGATTGCCCCGATTGAAATCGTGCCGAGGAGGAGCAGATAGATCTACGTGCTTCCCCCTGAAACCAAGATCTGAACAAATCAAAAGCTCCGGGATTATGTTTCGCTTGACAAAGTGCCGGTTCGCCTGAGTCTCTGGGGACCAACCATGAAAGCGTACTGGCTGGCTAAATTCCAAACGGCTGCGTCTCGGGCCTAATATTCAGCTGGGAAGGAAACTATGCAGGCTAAAGGCGACGAACTCATTCTTGGACTCATCACAATGTCTCTGAACCTCTCATTCCTGAGAGCGTGAGTGGCCAGCGATGTCATCGGCCCTTGTTCGGCCGAGTTCTCCTCGCCCTGTAGGGCGTGCAGGGATAGCGTACTCCAGGTATGCGGCCCACTAGCAATTACCTTAGCACCGTCGCGGGGTTCAGTGGGGAAAATGGTGCAAGGTCTGGGTACCTACCTTGTAAACACTAATGCCAATCTCCATTCTCCAGTCTAGGATGCCCACTGCCCACTCTTCGTAGTGGAGGGAAAGTCGTGGGGGGAACAGAAGGTCTAGGATTTAGCAAAGCGGAGTACATACTGGTTGGGAGGTTGTTTGGAACGGTACCAAGGTAAGGTAGATCGACAAGCACCACCCAAATGTGCGAGACCTTGACTTGACCAAGTAAAAGCAAAGTTTGGTTGGGGTCCAGGACCAGGATGTCGAAGATGGGCCGCGCGTGCCTTTCCGCTCGGCTTCGCGGATAGCCGACCAATGACCCACGGCTCCTTTTGGCAGGAGCCTTATTCCGTGGACTCTGCAGTCGAGACGCGCGTGTCTTTCGTGGACACTCGCGCGCTTTGCGTCACCAATGTCCAAGGCGCTTCGTATCGGGCCTTTTTCCGCCTTTGCGTAATGATGAGTCGTCGTCGGCGCGGCGGGTTGTGCAAGTGACATGAAACAGTAGAGTCGATACGAAGACCGTGTGTTTTTGTGGCGCCTTCCTCGATCGTAGATTGCGATTCACGGGTCGTCGTGGGCTTCGGTTCTTGAGCGGTTGCACAGGGTCGGTTGACTTGTGAGGGGACCAGAAGGAATCTCAGAAAGAGGGGGGTATTCGGTCTATTCTCAGATAAAAGAAATTTCAAAGCGTTTATACATGACATTCCACCAAGCCTTTGGTATACTCTAGCGAACACTGAATATTGATACATCCTTCCCTGGTTACATAGTACTAGAGAGACCGAGCCCCATGAGTTGTTCTCTCTAATTTTGACAAATGAAGGAACGAGGAACGACCTTATTACAGGGGCCATATGAAAGACAACGAGATTGGGCCAGCCAAAAGGAAAATATGGTGACAGGTTGTAGTGTACATGGGGTCTTGGTATGGTGGCGGGTTTACTCGAGCGCACGAGCGCTTCGTTGTAGTCGTTCACGGGAGCTTCGCGAAGCATGGACCAAACTTTTCTTTAGGATTCTGAGAGGTGGGTTGGGCATCGTGGAGGCGGGAAAATAGATCATCTTCGTTGTCCTTCTTGTATCTTTCGAGACGGCTTTCTCGGGAGGCTTTTCCGTCGGAGGGATGCTTCTCAGCAGCCTTGCTGCTGCTGCCGCCAGACGTCAGTCACTGGCTAAGGAGAGTCTGTCTAGGACGGTTGAAGTAAAGAGGCAGTGTCTTACGAGCTTCCAGCATGGTTATCCTGAGAGGATGTGTGGCTGGCGGGCATGTTGACGATGCTGTGTATTTCTTAACGAGAGCTGAAGTGTACGGAGAAGGTGACGATCGTCAACCGTAGTGACAACGATGAAGCTAAGGTGTTGTTCAGAACGAAGACGTAAAGTACTCTTTGGACGGATGATGAGGAGATGCCGGACTCCTTAGAGGGTATCTAGAGAGTAATAGAGAGAATATAGAGCGACAGAGTGAATCTCACATTGTAGGCTGAGTGGCGGATGATAGAGTTTAAGTAAATGAAGGTAAAAGTGTTGCTGGAAACAAGAGAGTCGCTGGCGGCCCAGATCTGGACGCCTTCTGGAAGCGGTCAAGAGGGCGGAAAGTACGCGGGGGGGAGATCAATGAGAGATTGGCGAAGGGCGACAGCGGCCAAGGCATAGACTGCGGCACTGAGTACCGAGAGATCTGGGTGAGGGCTGCTTGAACACGCCGTTCATCTAGAGAAAAGGCAGGGGGGAGGTGGGATTACGGACGACCGTCCGGGATACTTGGCGACTTTTCCGGTACCCAAGTTCCCGTTTAGTGAAAGTGCAGGTATTTTGATATGTTGAGACCGGCATTTGGCCTCGTGCCTGACTGCCAGAAGAACTTGATTTGGTTTTCGTTGTGCCCTTAAGCACCTAATTTCCCTGCCTGCAGGATTAGCGGTGGGAGAGACTCAGGAACAGAGTCGTGTACATCGTTGAAGAGGTCAAGCAGTGGCAAATCTGACAGGTGCAATTCCGTAGGATGCATCAGAGTGAGACGCAGACCTCATTTCTTCTAGGGGGCTGGTGAAAGGGGAAAGACATGGTGGAGAAACCTTTGAGGGAAAGGGTGGTGCGGATGCGGGAAAAAGGGTGTTTGGGGTGTGAGGAGAGGAGGCAACGCAAAGGTCGGCAGAAAGTGGATGATGATTGTGCTTGACAGGTAATTAGGTCGTGTCCCGACCTAAGGTGAGGTGTCTACAGAGCAACAAGACCATCCTGGGAAAAGCCCCCAAATTGGACGGGGATGATCCAGAACTTTGCTCGTCGCAACTGCGACCGAGAAGCTTGCAGGCAGACTACTGCAGGGATTTTCTTCTGTCTTGTTTTCCACTTGGAGAAATGGCACCCCATGGGCCAAATGTGTCGAGTTCACGCTCAGTGCATCCTTGAAGGAGAGAACAGGGCGGGCTCCATGAATTGCGGGGGAAAAGGGCGACAATTTTCTGGTAGCCTCACACCCAGATGCGTCTTGCTGCGCATCGGGCGCAGACCTGGTGAAGAAGTCCTTCAGTGCGGGAGGCTTGGTGCTAAAGGCGCTCAATGCTGAGAAGCGGTGAGCTTTCGAAGAGGCCAATCGTCTACCTCGCGCGCCACACTGCGTAATCGAGGTTGCCGATAACTAGAAATGATTGAGAAGGCTGTGAGCTGCTTCTGGAAGAACTGGGTGGGGGGCGTTTGGTGAAGGAGACCGTTCTCCTACTCGGGCAACCACTCGTAGAGGGCGCCATAGGATGCTTGTCCTCGTTCGTGGGTCCCGGATAGCAGCGGAGAGCGGGCTGGTCATCGATCAGCCCGCAATCGTCAAGTTGAGGGCGGGCGTGGTTGGAGGCGAAGACGGGAGGTAAACGCTGGGTCTGAGATGGACGGGCGATGGTAGAGCGAGGTTTGATGGTCGAATTTGGCCCCTGTAGCTACGTGGCCAGGGTAGATAGCGTCATTCATTGGGAAAGAAATACAACGGAGTGAACAACTCACGATCAGCAGATTAGATTCGAAACAAGCCAAAGTTGCCGTAGGTCTTTGGGGTTAGTCGAAGGGATCAAGGCAGGGTTGTCGCTCCGGGTCGTAATCCGTGTCCGTACCGGCGGAGGCGACCTTTGGAGAAAGCACGCTACCTTTGACTGACGGGTGCCAGGCAAATTTGTTGAGATAAGGCCGTGATAGCGTGAAAAAGTGACTTGAGGTAGGGCGGGCTGAGAGCTGAGCCCGGTAAAGCCGCGACATGGCGATGAAAAGGGCGGAGACGAAGTCGGCTCGGATGGAACCATACGAGAGGACGGGGCGGTAAGGACGGACTGCCCGTGAGGAGTAAGTAGGTACCTTCCGTGTGGCACCCGGGGCAGGAAAGGGCAGGGTCATCTGCTTCCTCCTACCTGCCTTGCCTTGCTCCAAATTTTGGATAGGTACCTGAGGTACCAGATGTTTTGTGCCAGACGGGATGGAAAGAGCAGCAGGGTTGGGGAACGGATGGGGTGAGATGGAAGGACCACAGTGGTGAGTGTTCCACTTTGGGGTTGGAGACGTACCTCAGGCAGGTCAGATCCAGTAAACGTCCCATCCCTGCTTTTCGGCCATCTGAATTCACGCCCATCCATCCCTACCTCTTTTCTTGTTCAAGGGCCACCCATGTTTTGAGCTTCCATCCTCTTCTGGACGGTCGTCCCGGCCGAGCTCTCGACGATCCTCCTCATCCTGACCATTTCCATTTCGTACGCCTGCACGGTCTGGTATCCGTACCTTACGGATACATCTGGTCTCATCAGCATCAAAAGTACGTATTTGATTGTCTCGTGCGGCATGCCTCAGGCACGGATGCATATCTCCGGCCCAGCAAGACCAGGGACTCGCAATGTCGTAATCTCCTTCACCTTGTCAACTCTCCCCCTGTCGGATCCTAGACTTTGACACTTAGACTTGACTCCAGGCTCTATCCGCACGGCACCTCCCTCTCCAAGCACCCCGGGACCTTTGACGCCAAGTTAGAGGTAAATCCTGACCGGCAACAGTAAACATCCGAGCCCTGTATGTACGCAACAGGATACCTTTCAACCCGACATCCTTGACGGCAATGCCACGGTGCCACGTGGCATACAATTTCTCTGAGTCCTTGGCTCAATACCTAGGCCCTGTCATCGCCTTGTCGACACACTACCTTGCCCTAGACACTAAAAAGAGGATCCCCAAAGAAGCCTAGAAGCTATGATGCATGACATCTCGCCCACATCAGCGCGAGCTGGACGCACTACGCTTTTGTCCGCCATCTTTTTGGTCCTCTGCTACGGTGCTTAGATGCGTCGTTAAAGTGTGCAATGAGCCTGTCCCGCCATCTGAGCCTGGTCTGCCGTCTGAACTTGAGATTAGTGTCAGGAATGCATCGGGTCGTGCAGCCCTAGCGACACACCCAGGTTGGCCATGACTTGATGGTCAAGATACATCTATAAGGTGTTTCTATCTTGCTCATAGCTGACGTTAGTGGCAGAAAATCCGCATGATATTGTTTGACCGAAACAATCCCAGCCGCGGAATGTCAGACTCGGTAATGATCGCTCAACATCAACATGTTCCATGTTCTTGCACATGGATTGTGTGGCGCCTCTGAAGTACCGTTCGAACCCGAGTAACTGGACCGACGGAATACCGCGTCACGCCGTTATGCAAGCAACCGTAGACCATAGAGCAAATGCGAGAACCACGTTCAACAACGCAACGCCGACTCACTTACCAGGCGTACCTGATGACCCTTCCTATAGTCGAACCAGCTCCTTAAAGATTCCGCTGCGAATGTGTCCCCACGACGCGGAAGACCGAGATGGTCTCTTTCTTTCAATCCGCCTCTCCGCCGCGACTGGGG